TTTGGACCCATACAGTTAGTCCCTCCGCCTGTTGAGGTTGCAACCTGGTGCGTCCTCGATGAGCGGATAACATGCGTTTCTACGGGAATATTTGACCCTTCGAAGCGTTATGGCATTGGCCAATGGTGGGCGGTCAGCGTGCTTGGCAAGATACCAGGTTATACATTTTACCGGAAAATGATGTCATCTTCACGTGTGTCATCATTACGCGTGTTTTCGAGACAAGAGTTGATGGCTTGTTGCTTAGATTCTGGTGCCTCTCTGTGACCTTCCGCTTCGATTCTGGCACCACCCATTCCTATAAATAGGAAGAGGGTTTGTTTTTTCGAAAGTTCTTGGCCATTTCATCTCTGAATATCCCTCCTTATCTACCCGAGCTAGCACTGACGATCTTCCGCTTCTTCTTCTGATATTCTTTGTTCACAACTTCATCTTCCTCCCTTGCTTCTACGGTATCAACACCTTTTTTCGCTTTTAACGAAAGCATGCAAAGGAAACACCGATCTCGCGAAGGAATTCCTGAAGCCGCCCCATTGTCCATAGTGTCCCCTTTGGGAGGTGAAGATACGGTGGTAGAGGAGGGTGACAGCCTTCCTACGGTGGAGGAGTTACTGCCGAGACATCCCATGTCTCGAAGTGACTTCCTCAAAGAACCCCCTCCTACACCTGACCCCGTACTCTCTGAGATGGAGAAAGTTCACATTGATGCTCTTCGCGTAAAGTATGGCATTCCCGCTCATGTCGATATGGTTCCGGCGGGGAGAGATTTTGTAGAGGTCCACAAATCTGGGTACTGCGCTTTCTAGGAGTACCCTTTCGCGATTGGCTATACTTTTCCTCTCTTCCCATTAGCGAAAGAATTCTGTAGATTCTACCACATCTGCCCGGCACAACTTTCGTCATATACACTCAAGATACTCCTGCTATTGACCAAGCATGCAGAGTTGGCAGGATGTAACGTTTCCATCCATCACCTTTTGCATCTGTTCTCACCCAGTTTCCACAGGGGTACCATGGTACATTTGAGGCATCGTGGCACAAAAGGGCTGGTGGTCGGGACAGAAGACCGGGTAAGTCGCAAGTATTGGCACAAGTACTTCTTCGTCAAAACTGAACACATTGTTTCTGATTCTGCCAGGTTCCCGGAGCAATGGAATGAGATTCGTAAGTTTCACCGCTTGTTTTACTCTTCCTTTGTCTGTATTCATTATGATGTTTGTGTGCTTCTCGTTTGCAGCTATGGGACGTCTACCTCACCCTATTGTAGGCATAAGGGATTGGGTAGCCCGTCTGTTGCCCCATGCAGCGGAAACCCGAGATTGGCCCACCTTCGTAAAGCGTTATGGCCCTAGAGTTCCATCTGGTAAGTGTTTCTCTTACCATTTCGTTAGCTATATGACGTCGTTTATTGATACGACCCTTTGTGACGACAGGTCGAGGAGCTTCCAGGCGGAGAGTGCCAGTCCCTGCGTTCCAACAGGCTTGCTTCCGCGAACACGTAGTTTGTTTTGAGTGAATCTGTTCGAGAGGGTCGTCCTCAACCTGTACAATTAGAAGGTCCCTCTCGGGTCGTGGTCGTGAGGGAGGAGGCTTCTTCAATGCCGACCCCACACCTTTTGGAAAAATCCTCCAATGGCGACAAACCGTTATCGAGAAAAAGGAGGAGAATGGAGCTCGAGAAGGGCGTGGTAGTGGACGATGATAGAAGTAGGGCATCGGAGGCGGCACCCGTACCCACATTTATGGCTGACACCATTTTATCGGGGAGATCTCCCCAAGCGGAAGGAGTTTAACCAAGAGCTAGCTCCGTGCACTCTTCTGAGGGCGGTGCATCGTCCAATGTTGGAGGTCGTCGTGTCTAGGGTGATGACTCAGGTTCAGATGTCGACCCGGAGGATGTCAACGAGTTCGTAGTTGCCATACTCACGTGGAGGTCAGAGCGGAAGGGGCTGATCATCACATAGTCGTCCTAGGGTACTATAACCTGCTGCTGAACTGTGAGCAAGTGGCGGCTGTTTTAGCTCCTCTATGTGCTGCCCCCTAAAACGAGGTGCTTACGGCGATGAGCGACATGGAATTGTCTCAGAACATCGCTGGTATGTCCTTGCGTGTAAGTGCCTTTCCTTTCCTCCTCATCATTGGGCTTGTATGGTGATCGACGACTTGTATTTTGTTTCTAACTTCTCCTTTTCCTTTGTATCAGACCCTCATTATGGAGACCGAGCGAGAGCGTTGGGAGAGGAGGAGGATGGCCATCTATGAGAAGATGTCGTCTAAGTATCAATGGTATCGTGCTAAGCACCACGCGATGGCTGACATTTATAATCAGGACCCTAAATTTCAATTGTTTTGCGAGGGGATCAAATAGAGGGAGGGCCAATTGGAGCGTAAGACTGAAGAGCTGAGGGAGCGGGATGAGGAGCTCAGGAAGGCTGTTGCCTATAATAGTGAACTCGAGGCTTCCCTTAAGGTGAAAGAGGACGATCTTGAGTTGAGCAGGGGGGTGATGGACGAAAACCTGCAAGCAAAGGTGGCCAGTTTGACCGCTGAATTAAGTGCGAAGGCGGTGGAGGTTGAAGGGCTTAAGGGCAAGCTGAATGTCGGTGCTAATAAGTTTGCGGAAGCTATTTCTGGAACTGCATCTTTGGAGGATGACCTCCGTGTTTGTAGGTCGGAGCTGACTGAAGAGACGGAGGCCTATAATCGTAGGGTCGTGGGGCTTGGGGGCGTGTTAAATAACTGGAGGTGGAGCTATCTGCGTTGAATGAACAAGTGGCCTCGCTGAGGGTGGAGTATGCAAGTCGACGCTCTCAGCCTTTTACGTCTCGTGCCTCAGCTGATACGGTCATGCCTCGTCGTTTATATGAGTTGCGGGTCCTTACTGAGGCTCGTCTTGATGTGTACAAGGCTTTTCACGCCGAGAGGAGGGCAATAGAAGCGGAGCTTTAGGCCGTGCATACCGAAGCTCGTGTGGCTCGTGAGCCATGCGGGTATGACCCTCTTACACCTGACGTGGATGACATCAACTCTGATTATACAAATCGTCTTGCTTCGGACTCTTGGTACGAGGATACTAACCCCGCCGGGGATGATGCGTAATCTTTTGTTTGTACTTACTGTTAATTTTGGGCTTTTTGTAGGGGGCGTGCTTTAGCCCGTTTGTAAGAATAGGTGTACATACCATTTTGATGTAATGTAGAATATATTTTTCCAATTTGTTGGTGTCTTTTGCAATGTCTATGATATCCGGGATATATGTCGAGTTGTTAAGTCGACTTAGTTTTTGGACGAGGTCGATCCCCTTTTTGGTCGATGGCCTTGGCCATTGGGATGTTGCTTCAAACTATCGTCGAAGTAGGATACCGTCATGTTTCGAATGAGGTCGAACTCGTGTTTTAGTCGATGGCCTTGGCCATTGGGATGTTGCTTCGAACTGTCGTCGAAGTAGCATCCCGTCAAGGTTTGAATGAGGTCAAACTCATATTTTCATCGATGGCCTTAGACATTCGGATGTTGCTTCGAACTGTCTTTGAAGCAGTATCCCGTCGTAGTTCGAACGAAGTCGAACTCATATTTTCATCGATGGCCTTGGTCATTGGGATGTTGCTTCGAACTGTCGTCGAAGTAGTATCCCGTCGTAGTTCGAACTCATATTTTCGTCGATGGCCTTGGGCATTGGGATGTTGCTTTGAACTATCGTCGAAGTAGTATCCCGTCGTAGTTCAAACGAGGTCGAACTCATATTTTCGTCGATGGACTTGGCCATTAGGATGTTGCTTCGAACTGTCATTGAAGTAGTATCCCGTCGTAGTTCGAACGAGGTCGAACTCATATTTTCGTCGATGGCCTTGGGCATTGGGATGTTGCTTTGAACTATCGTCGAAGTAGTATCCCGTCGTAGTTCGAACGAGGTCGAACTCATATTTTCGTCGATGGCCTTGGCCATTGGGATGTTGCTTCGACCTATCGTCGAAGTAGTTTCCCGTCGTAGAGGTCGAACTTATATTTTCATTGATGGCCTTAGCCATTGGGATGTTGCTTCGAACTATCATCGAAGTAGTATCCCGTCGTAGTTCGAACGAGGTCGAACTCATATTTTTATCGATGGCCTTATCCATTGGGATGTTGCTTCGAATTATCGTCGAAGTAGTATCCCGTCGTAGTTCGAATGAGGTCAAACTCTTATTTTTGTCGATGGCCTTGACCATTGGGATGTTGCTTTGAACTTTCGTCGAAGTAGTATCCTGTCGTAGTTCGAACGAGGTCGAACTCATATTTTTGTCGATGTCCTTGGCCATTGGGATGTTGCTTCAAACTATCATCGAAGTAGTATCCCGTCGTAGTTCGAACGAGGTCAAACTCATATTTTAGTCGATGGCCTTGGCCATTGGGATGTTGCTTCGAACTGTCGCCGAAGTAGTATCCCGTCGTAGTTCGAACGAGGTCAAACTCATATTTTCGTCGATAGCCTTAGCCATTTCTCATTTGAGGTTTGATCATTTTCCCGTAGGAAGACACATGTTGACTTTATTCATGCAATGAAGATTTGATTATATACTTGTAAGAATCACATGTCGACTCTATACATACGATGGAGATTTGATTATATTCTTGTAAGAATCACATGTCGACTTTGTACATACAATGGAGATTTGATTATTATATCCAGTCCCTTCATTACTTTGCTCCGAAGATCATGTCGACGGGCGGGGTAATGAACAATACTTAGAACCTCAAGATGTCTCCCTTGATGCCTTATTAAAAACCTCGCCGGGAAAACCCGATTGGGACAAAACCCGGATGAGGGAAAATGATTACGACTTAGGTGGCGCCTTCTTTCAAAATTGGAAGTATTTGACATGGGCGACATTCCAGTTGTTTTGGAGTAATTTTCCCTCCATTGTCTCTAACTGGAATGCTCCTTTGTTTGCTGCAGCTGTGATTTTGTATGGTCCGTCCCAGTTTGTTCCCAGTTTTCCCTCATTGGGGTCTTTCGCTGCTTATATTTTAGCCTTGAGGACGTAATCTCCAATTTTGAGTGGTCGCACTTTGTCCTTCTTGTTGTAGTAGCTTTCCACTTGTTGTTTCTGGGCTACCATTCTTATATGGTCCATGTTTCTCCGTTCTTTGACTTCATCCAGATCTTGTAGCCTACTTTCGTCATTGCTTGGTCCGCTCTCGTTGGAGTATCTCAAACTAGGCTCTCCGACCTCGATGGGTATAACTACATCAGTCCCATAGACTAGTGAATATGGCGTCTCACCAGTACTGGTTTTTGGTGTGGTACGGTATGCCCATAATACTTCCAATAGTAGTTCAGGCCATAGCCCTTTGGCGTCCTCAAACTTCTTATTCAATATATTCAGTATTACTTTATTGGCGGATTCGGCTTGACCATTACTGGCAGGGTGATATGGCATGGAGAGTATTTGTTTGATGTGCCATTTCTTGAAAAACTCGGTCGTTTTCTTTCCGACAAACTGAGGTCCGTTGTCGCAGCAAATTTCTTTGGGGATGCCGAAACGGCATATTAAGTTTTTCCATATGAACGCGATGACCTCTTGCTCACGTATCTGTTTGTATGCACCTGCTTCCACCTATTTAGAAAAGTAATCAGTTAATACTAAAAGGAAACGTACCTTACCTCGTCCGGCTGGGAGGGGTCCGACTATATCCATCCCCCACTTTATGAATGGCCATGGTGAAGTGACAGAATGGAGGAGTTCCCCTGCTTGATGTATCATAGGAGCGTACTTCTGACACTGTTCGCATCTTCTAACGTAGTTTGCAACTTCTTTTTTCATGGTGGGCCAGTAGTATCTGGCGCGGATTCCCTTGTGGGCGTCGAAGTGTCCTTCGTGTATTTCTTCCAGTACTCGTCTTGTTTGGTTTGGCCCAAGGCATTTGGCCAGGGGGCTGCCGAACGTTCTTTTGTAGAGATCGCCGTTTACAAGGTTATATCTGGCTGCCTGTATTCACAGCTTCATACTCGGCCTCATTGTTAGTCATCTCGGGGCATCGTATGGACTGGCGAATTACTTCGCCCGTAGGAACTTCAAGGAAGAGTCCTAGTCCTGATCTCGAGGCATTAGAAGCGTCGTCGGTGTAGAGGACCCAGAGGTCGGTGTGTGCGGAAGCGCGGAGCTTTTTGCTCTACTTCAGGCAATATTTTCGCACTGAAATCAGTGACAAAATCGGCAAGCACCTGCAACTTAATGACAGTTCGCGGTTGGTATGTTATATCATGATCGCTTAGTTCTATGGCCCATTTGGCCAATCTACCTGATAACTCGGGTTTGTGTAGGATACCCCTCAGGGGGAAGGTTGTCACCACTTTTATGGGGTGACATTGAAAATATGGTCTAAGCTTTCGTGAAGCTACGACTAATGCCAAAGCTAGTTTTTCAAGGTGAGGGTACCTTGTTTCGACATCGATTAAGGTTTTGTTGATATAGTAAATCGGAGATTGCGTACCTTCGTTTTCACATACCAAGACTGCACTTGCAGCGACTTCAGAGACTGCTAGATACACAAGTAGACATTCACTTGGGTCTGCCTTGACGAGTATGGGTGGCGAAGATAGATACGCTTTCAGTTTTCTCAGGGCATCGACGCATTCTGCATTCCATGGTCTTTCCTTAGCACATTGAAGAATTTATGGCATCTATTCGATGATCGTGAAATGAACCTCGACAAGGCGGCTATTCGTCCTGTTAATTTCTGCACCTGCTTTTTGCTGGTCAATACCTCCGGTATTCCTTCGATGGCTCTGATCTGGTCCGGGTTGACCTCGATACCCCTTTGTAACACTAGAAAACCAAGGAACTTTCCTGAAGTTACGCCAAAGGTGCATTTTTCGGGATTCAGCTTCATCCCGTATTGCCTCAATATCTCGAACGCCTCCTTCAGATGGCCAATGTGATCCTCTTTCTTTGTCGATTTTACTAGCATGTCGTCGATGTAAACTTCCGTGGTCTTACCAAGTTGTTCTTTGAACATCTTGTTGACTAACCTTTGATATGTCGCCCCTGCATTATTGAGTCCGAATGGCATTACCTTGTAGCAGTACGTTCCTCAGTGAGTGATGAAAGTGGTCTTTTCTTGATCTTCTTCAGCCATTAGAATTTGGTTGTAACCGGAATAGGCGTCCAAAAAGCTTAGGATGGGCAGCACTATTTCCTTTGAGGTTCGTTCCACTGCATTATTAAAACCCGTTAGTGTTATGCAACGCAGTATTATTTTATCCTCGAGCCTCATCTATATGAGAACTCGTGAGTGAACAATACACGCGCCACTTCCGTCTTCCACCATTATTCTTTTGACATCAGTATCTGCGATGCATAAAGTTATAACCAAAGCATCATAGTGAGGGAAAGACAAACCGTCAGTATCCGACTTATCGAAGATGATACTGTCTTCGAGGTCATCATACCGTTCGTGGGCATCCGTCCATTTGAGTTTATGTATGGTGGTGAATTTCACATGGTTGATTATTGTGTCGTCACTACCGCCAATGATCATTTGTATGGTACGAGCTAGTGATGGTGGTTTTGGAGGACCTTGAGGTTGATCTCGTCCACAACCGAAGTTGGCCCTTCCTCGGTCGCTCAGAAGTTCTTTCAGGCATCCCTAGTTTAACATTCTGACCACTTCTTGTCGCAGACCTATGCAGTCTTCGGTCTAGTATCCTCTTTTCTGGTGGAATTCACACAGGATGTTCGACCTCCTGGTGCTCGGATCCGACTTCATCTTTTGCGGCTACTGCACCTTCGTACCGAGCTTTTCTAGTGCGTACACTACTTCTGAAGGAGAAACACAAAAGTTATGAGTAAATAACCGTGGAGGCATACCTCTTTTGTTTTGGGGGGAGGGGGTGCAGTATGTTGAGGTGCGGCGTCCACGTGTCGTGGAGAAGGTGGATTGGATGTTCGGATATAGGGCTGGTGCCTTTCTCGATTGAAACGTAGTAGTTGATCCCTTCGACTGTCGTTGCGGCGATCTGTCCTTGTCTCGGTTTGGACTGATGTTAATTGCTGGAGCGGACCGTTCAGGTCATCATCATCTGCCCTCACTTCGACGCAATAGGCATTATGGATTTTTTCCTACGTGGTAGGAGGGTACTTCATGAGTCTACTTAGTAGCTTTTTGGTTGCTTTTGACCCGTTTCTGTTCTGCCCATTTTGAAAGGATGCTACTGCCATTCCTTCTGACACGTTCGGTAGGCTCATCCTTACCCTATTGAATCAGGCTAGGAAGTCCTGAAGTCCCTTTCCCATCGTTTGTTTGACGACGGAGATATCATTGACCCTAGCCTCTGCCTTTTTCGCTCCCGCGTGAGTGGTGACGAACTTATCTGCCATCTCTTTGAACGTTGAATCGAGCACGATAGTAGTTGGGAATACCATGTCAACGCTCCCCCTGTCAGAGTTTGGCTGAACTTTTTCAGCAGTACAGACGACACCTGTTCCTTTGATAAATCATTACCTTTTACTGCGGTAACGTAATGGATTAAGTGATCCTCCGGGTCCGTGAGCCATCATATATTTTTAGATATGACGGCATTTTGAAGGTCTTTGGAATAGAATGGGGAGTTTCCCTTCGCTATATGGTTGTTCGACGAATTGTCCCACATCGCATTTTGGTAACAACTTCGGAGCGCCTGGTAGTTTATTGACCCTTTCCTGATGTTCCTTCATCTGGTCGCGGAGTGTTTTGTTTTCATTTTCCATCTCTTCCATTTTCTTTAAGATGGTTGTAAATGCATCGTCACTTGCATCAGCAATAGTACGGGTGTTACCTGTTCGTGTAGTATTTGGCTCATCGGCAGCAGCTACGGTTTCTGTTGGTAATGTGTCTTCGATATCTCCCCGAACGGGTTTCTCGAGCAAGCTGTTCAAGGTATTTTTCTAATAGCCTTTTGATGACCGGTGGCATTTCTCCTGCTGAGGTTTCCCTCTCGCGCAAGATCGTTAGATCCTCGTGCAGGGGAGGTGAGATCTCTCCCTCAGGTGTAACACTTGGTGTTGCATTTTCGTTATCTTCTCCACTTGCTTCGTTGAGGGAATTTAAGAGGTTGTTTGTGACACCCACTATTGCCTTTAGCCTTGCTTCTCCCTTTTCCGCCATTGTTGGCCTTTATGAAGCTAAAGAAAAGTAATTATTTCTTTCTAGAATCTAGATGAAAACTACGATTTCAGCTATAGAATTTCTCACAGACGGCGCCAAATTGTTTGACTCAAAAGATATTGAAACCTTTTTGAACAAATCAATCAAAGATGAAGAGGTAAATCTTAGCTAAGTATAATAATCTCTAGATGGAAAGATGGATAAGGAGAAGACGGGTAATAAGATTTCTTTATCAATCTGAACAAGTAAAATCCTTTCAAGAACACTTCTCATTCATAAGTAGAATTATGGCCAATACCCTGAATCCCCCCTTTACAAAGTTATGGTTCACTATATATATAGGGAGTCAGTCTCTTCTAAGTTGTAAAAGACTGATTATAAAGAATATTCGAAGGAATATTCTTAGTATCCCCTAACGGGCCTATACTATTACAAGGGTCGTACAATCTCTTGTTTGTCTCAAGGTCGTCCTCTGCAAGGCGTCAGGTTATGGGGCACTCGCCGTTTCGTTGTACTCGTCGATGGTTGTAGTTGTTCAAATTTGGACCCATACAATGCGCGAAGTCCCAGGAAGGGCCTAGCCACAAGGGTATATCATACACAGTCTTACCTTGCATTTCTGCAAGAGGTTGTTTCCACGGCTAGCACTTGTGACCTCCTAATCATATGACTGCAATTTACCAGTTATGCTAAGACTTCCTTTCTACTCCCTCTGTTTCAGTTTATATGAACCTATTTCCTTTTTTGTCCGTTTCGAAAAGAATGACCCCTTTCTAAATTTGGTAACAATTTAGCTTAAACTTACGATTCTACCCTTAATGAGAAGCTTTTATAACCACACAAATACTCTGGGCCACTTTTGACTTGTTTAGGACCACAAATTCCAAAAATCTTCATTTTTTCTTAAACTTCGTGCCTAATCAAACAGGTTCAAATAAATTAGAACGCAAACATTAATATTTTTCATCAGAAACGTTTTAAAATGCACCTAGAAAATCAGGTTGTGACAATTATATGCGAGATCTTTCCAAGAAAATATAAATTAATCCACTTGATTATAGAAAACATGAGTAGTGATACTATGAACTTAGGAAGAATGATTTGCCAACCCTGCCATGTGCCACATGCCTTACGATTCCCTATTTCTCCACCTAATCCTATCAAGAATTGCCTTTGGTTTTCCCTAGGAAACCTTTTTCATGATTAAATAACAGCCACGACTTGCAGCTCCATTGTTCCTCTCCAAACATTAATCTCTACATTAAAAAACTTTCAGAAAACAAAAGAGATGAATGTTACAGTAACGTCTATTCTTATCCTGCCCTCTGTAAACAGAGAAGCCTCCTCAGTTGTCCCACTTGTCTTTGCTGCTGCAGCTGCCGCCTTCCTTGTTGGAGCACTTATTGTTCTGGCCGTAAGAACCACCGTACTAACGTGGATTATGGTGCTTGTACTGCTATCATTCGCCGGAAAACGCCGCCGAGGTGTTGTAAAGGATGGCAACAAGATCACGTCGGAGGTGGTAATATATGCGGCTAACATTATGGTTAAACAAAGAGGGGTGTATGCTTTCACTGGTGCTATGATTTTGGGCTTCACTTCTATGGCATTGTTAATAAGATGATTTGTACAACTATATCGAAGGTGAATTCATAATTTAGAATTAATTTGTTGGCTGATCTTATTGTATATGTAGAATTTTATTTTATTTGCATATCTATACTAAATGTTTAGTCGAAAACAATAAGTTCAGTTGAATCCACGTTTAACCCATCCTAAATTTGTCTCTATGCATCCAGGCTAGCATTGCTGTCTCTATTTGTTGTTGCTAGAACAGAGTTGTAAATTTCGCATTTTCTTATTTTCACTGTAAATATTATGGTGATTATGGCTGAAATTTTGCGCAGGCACTTAGTTAATATCCCCATACTTTACCCTTATGAATGTTTACTTGTAAAATAGTACAATTGAATTTATACGTGGTTTCTAGACAAGTAAATTAATTTGATTTTGAAATAATGAAATAATTGAAAAGATATGTAATACTTAGCCTTGATATGAAGACGCAATAGCAGAAATAATAATTCCGGGTGCAACATATAATAAGAACACAAAGTGAGAATATAAAGTTGTATAGAACTTTGAATAGATTATAGTATCAGTTTGCCAGAGAATGTCTCTCTCTTTATAATGTTAGCAGAGCTCACTATTTATCGCTACGTCTAGGAAACAAGGTCATAGGATCGTGCTCTTCTTTAATATCAATTATGAGGACAACTGGTAAAGGTGTAATAGAGAGCATAAATGACAAATTCTCTGTAACGCGTAGTGCACTCAATGATGTGAAATATTCTTCATTAATGTCACCGGACGGAGGGTATTTATTATCTCTATATGAGTGTTATTCCTTCTGGTACCAAGCGAGATAATTGCCTCCGATTCCACGTATCATTCTTTTAAGCAGCCATCTGGCATAGCACATTCTATCCTATACAATAAAGCTCTCTGGTGTTTCTAGTAATTTTTTTTATGTAGGATAATAATCATTGATCTCTAGATGCGTTTGTACGTTCTTTTTCAATATTGGTTTTGGTCCTTCACTAATTCTTCTATCAGGTTTAATTTTTGGGACTTTTTTTTTTTTTTTTGTATATATACAAAATTTTAAACTTATTCATCCAATTTTCTAAGTTTTCCTATTTATAGAAAGTAACTAAAGTTTTTTACAAACTATATACAAAATCTGGTAACAATCCACAATTTATCTACAACTTAAATACAAATTTTGTATGCAAAATTCGGTCAAAAACTACAATTTAAATACAATTGTATACAAGGTAACATAATTATATACAATTATGTTAGCAATATATATTTTTATGTCGTTTCTGCACCCAAAAAATAAAATATATACAATTTATTTATGTCTTCTTCTTCGTTGAGCATCAATCTAAAACTCTAACCAAAACCAACTTAAATCTTCACCAAATTCTCTAAAAATAGAGATATAAACTCCAAAGAGTATTTCCAAACATTTGCAGCAACACTGTCACGACCTCAGTTTATGTCGTAATGGCACCTAGTCTCTTTGACTAGGTAAGCCTAACACTAACTGAATTAATATTCGATTTTAACCAAACAACTATTAAACATGAACAAGATCTCTCTATATAAAGCCAACAATCCCAACATGATATACAACAACCCAAGATCGGTAGTACACGTCATAAGCTCTACTGAGATCACTAAAAAATCTAAGTTCAAATGTTTCGGAATAGAAATAACAGTACGAAATAAACTTCAGAAGGTAACTTCGAGGCCTGCAAACACAACGGTTAGTGTACCTTGAAGTCTCCACGTCAATATCCGATCAACTATCTAATGATCAACAAGCTCTGAGGTACCTGGATCGGCACAAAAATATACAGAAAGCGTAGCATGAGTGTACCATATCGGTACCCAGTAAGTATCAAGACTAACCTCGGTGGATAATAACGAAAGACATTTAAGACATCTACTAGACATAATAACCTGTACAATTATGAATATAAAACTAACAGGAAAGAATATAAGGCTAAACATGGTAAGATTATAATACATGCAATAAGAACTAGAACAACAATTAACACCAAGGAGCAACACGTACTAACGCCGTAAAGTAACTAGAATACAGTTAAAGCCCGGTGAAACCAAGTAAAGAAAAAACAAGTAACAACCAATAAAAACGATCACTTTCACACAAGGTTTATGCAAGAACTTCCTTGAGGTACCACACCTCATAATCATATATCACGGGTCCCAAAACACGAACCCTAGTCACTTGGCATCTTGTGCCCGCATTACAAATTGCAATCGCACAGACAACTCATGCGCCAATACCATTAATACCTCATATCTGCACGAGCAACTCACATGCTAAGACTAAGAGAGTAATAATATCTCATATCCGTACGGACAACTCACGTGATAGTAGTAACAATATCTCATAATCTCACGGACAATTCACGTGCCAATAGTACAACTCAAGCGCAGAGGGAAGGTGTAAAAGAATACATGTAAATGATCAATAAACATCAAGTTTCATCTTTTTCGACTGGTGACTAACTACGGTGTATGTTTGTGCAAGTATTCTATCACAACTGGAGTAAACAAGTAAGATCAGAGACAACGAATGGTACATAGGAAACAACACAACAAAACGTAAAATGCATGACTCATACAAAGTAAGCTCACCAATACACAAATTTTATCAAAAACAATGCCCCAAGCTATGACAGGGCATCATAATTCATCACAATTCATCCCCAATATAGCCCCTCTTCTCTCGCCACGTGCATAACAATAAAGTAAATGCCTGCCTTGTCTTGCCACACATGCATAATAATATTTCCGTCTTGTCTTGCCACATGAGCAAACCTACATATATAGCCCGCCTTGTCATGTCGCATGTGCAATATGCATATAACAATAGCACGGACAACTCACGTGCGAACACCCCAACAATCCTTTCAACAATACCACGTGTGCCAAAAACATAACAACATAATATAACAACTCGCACCACATATGCCACAACATTTCCTCGAAACAATTCTAATAGCACAACCATACATATCCCTCGACCCAACAACACTGAGTACCATAACAACAACAATAACACGGGAGTATAACAAGTAAACCAACACAAGAATTACAAAACATAAAGAAAACTTCAATGTCAATGCTTCCATGTTATCGGAATATAACTTCAATGTCAATGCTTCCAGCATCGTATATGCCATCAGGCCCATTAAAGATACCAAGTGGCCCCTACTATTGCAGTCCGATCCTGCCCAGAGAGATCCTAACTTGATGTGTAAGTATCGTGGCACTCATGGCCATAGAACTAAGGATTGCCGACAACTAAAAGAAGAAGTGGCCCGGTTGTTCAATAACGAACATTTTCGGGAATTTCCGAGTGATCGAGCCAAAAATCACTTTAGGAATAGAGACTCTAAAAATTAGACCGAACAAGAAAAATCATAGCATGTCATCAACATGATCATTGGAGGAGTCGATGTCCACCAAGGACCAATGCTAAAGCGCACTAAGGTGTCCATCACTAGGAAAAAATGAACCCGAGATTATATACTGGAGGAAACCATTTCGTTCAGTGATGAGGATGTCGAAGGCATCGTACAACCGCATAATGATGCACTGGTAATATCTATACTTATAAATTAATCTCGAGTTAAGAGTGTGTTGATTGATCCAGGTAGCTCGGCCAACATCATCAGATCGAGGGTCGTATAACAATTAATTTCTATATTTACAATAAAGAAAATCTCATAAACTTTCTCATATTATGTGTATAATTTAAAGCATATTCGAAAGTAGTAATATTAATAACTATATAAAATCATATTTTTCAAACTTTTTTACAAAAATGCTCCACTCAAAATACTATATCAAATGTGTATAATGTTATCAAGGTTGTTAAACTTGCGGGGTCTTATAATAATATAATCACAAATCCTCTATAACCTTATGAATGATCTTAATCACTTCAAGCTCGTATAAATTACTACAACTCATCCTAATATTAAAGTATGGGATGTAACATCCTTCCCTCGTTTAGAAATATTCGTCCTCGAATGTTAACTCTTAGAAACTTACAAAATTTTTGCCAAAGTCTCCTCTGTAAACTAAACTAAAACCTAACCTCTATCTGAAGTCTGGACAATTCGCAACCTTTTGTACTTGAGTATCTCGTATCTTCTTCACCTTTACCTTATTCAGTCTTACATTGTTTCTTCTATTGCTTTCATAATCACCCTTCCACATAGGTGGAAATTACATCCACGCCTTAAAGCTCTAATGTGATACTTACACCTCTAGTGCATACAAAATCCGGTGAAAGCTTCATACAGACTTCTTACAACTCAGCTCTATGGCACGATCTGGAAACAAAAAAAGGGTAACATTTCATAAATGCCCTATAGCTTCTCAATTATAAGTGTGGAGCGCAACACACCCATAAGTGGGACTCTACTAGGCACAGCTTTATAGACTTCCTAGGACACAACCTTCTCAGATACCACTTTGTCACGCCCCAAACCTAGGGAGGCGTGGCTGGCACCCAATGTTGTACTGGATCGAGCGAACCACTCTGCAACTCTTTTTTTCTTTGTAACTATGATGGGCCAACATGGCCTCAACTCATAACATATAACTATAAGTGTGCCACAACTCGTAATGTATAACTGTAAGTGGGAAAACACTGTATCAATGAATTATCTTTCATAAAACGTGAATACATATGGGCCGTCAAGGACTCTGACATACTGTACAAAATGAACCTCTGTCTACAAAGAATCTAAGAGTATTAGACATCAAATAGGATAGGGCAACAACCTACCCATAAGTCTGTAGCAAAATTCTGACACGACAACTCATAGACACGGCTGCACTCCGAATGAGGTGGAGTCTTACCGATCCTTCGCTGAATGCTAACCTCGTCTACTATGAGGGCTCATCAAACTAATTATCTATACTTGTAGGAATGAATGGAACTCCCCAACAAAATGATGTTAGTACGATTAATGTACCGAGTATGTAAGGCGGAACTGAAATATGACAATAAGT